TGTGATCGTCCGATATATAAGGTATTTGGGAGTCCCGCTTCGTATCTGGCGCCTCTCCCTCTCCCTCTCCCTTTCTGCCTCGCCCCAGGCGACTTCGTCATCCTGTCTCTGCCCCAAACTGCTGCTTGTCTTGCCTTGATCGCCGGTGATCTCGCCAGCGACGAACAGAGACCTGCTTCACTGCCGACCTTTCTCGAAACGCCAATCGCGACGAGATTCGTCCAGTCGACACAATGCTGGGTTTCCTCAAGAAGGAGCCCTCCGAGTCCGAGCTCAGGGCGCAAGAGGTTGTCGACCAGGACACCACCCCGCGCAAGCCATTCCGCGAGGCGATCGTCCCCGTCATCGCATGCGGCGCCGGTCTGTTTTCCGACGGCTACATTAACAACGTGAGCACTCACCCCGTCGCATATGTGTCGCGCGCACTTATTGAGCGATTGGGACAATGAAATTGACGCTGTTCGGATGCGATAGGTCATTGGCTCCGTGACGACGATTCTCGCGCTCCAGTATGGCGACCTGTACAAGAACTCGAACGCGAAGAAGTACGTCGGTGACATTGCTTTCGCCGGTACAGTCGTCGGGCAGCTTGCATTCGGCTGGCTAGCTGACCACTGGTCACGCACGAACTCGCTGCTCGTGTCTACCATCATCCTCGTCGTCTTCACTGCTCTCGCTGCCGGCTCCTATTACAGGGGCGACGACATAGGCATGTTCAACATCCTGGCAGCGTGGCGATTCTTCGTAAGTACTTTCGCATTGCCATTACGATCCTCGTCGACTTTCGCAAACCCCGTCTAACATGCGCCCGGCAGGTCGGAATCGGAATTGGAGGCGAGTACCCGGCTGGCAGTGTCGGCGCCGCTGAGTCGACCGGAGAGCTCAAGTCCGGCAAGCGCAACATGTTCTTCATCCTCTTCACGAACTCGATGATTGACTGGGGCTTCGTCATTGGCGCATTCGTCCCGTACGTCGTCGCGGCTGCGTGCCACAACGGCCACTACAGCACCATCTGGCGCACCAGCTTGGGCATCGGTGTGGTTTTCCCCATCTTCCTTTTCGTTCTCCGTATTTTTGTCAAGGAGAACGAGGAGTTCCAGAAAAACTCGATGCGCCACGCCAAGACGCCGTACCTCCTCTCCCTCCGCTTCTACGGCTGGCGCCTGTTTGTTGTTAGCTTGATCTGGTTCATCTACGATGTGAGTGCACAAATGAGCATGAGGAGATAGGCTGAAGCTGACGTGACGCAATGTAGTTCTCCGCCTACTCTTTCGGCATCTACTCTTCCACCATCCTGAGCAACATCTACGGCGACACGGCCCCGCTCACGACCGTCTTCGGCTGGAACACTGTAATCAACCTGTTCTATATCCCCGGCACGATGCTCGGTGCCCCTGCCTCAGACTGGCTCGGCCCCCGATACGCCCTCGCTTTGGGCGTCTTCCTCCAGGCTATCGTCGGTTTCATCATGGCTGGTGACTACTTCAACCTGTCCCAGCCCGGCATGGTCGGTGGATTCGTCGTCGTCTACGGTGTTTTCCTGGCTCTTGGAGAGTTCGGCCCTGGTAACAACATTGGTCTCCTGGCGGCCAAGACCTGTGCAACTGGCATTCGCGGTAAGAGATCCCGAAGCAAAGGCGGCGCAAATACTTGATCAAGACATACTGACAGCTAAACAGGCAAGTACTACGGTATCGCCGCTGCTATTGGCAAGATCGGAGCCTTCGTGGGCACCTGGGGTGAGTGATATCTTTCGCCAGCATCGTCTCAGATATGTGTACTGACTCAAACGACAGTCTTCCCCTACATCCAAGCCGCCGCCGGCGACAACGCGGTCGCGACTGCGCAGTACCCCTTCTGGGTCTCTTCGTCTCTTTGTGTCCTGTCCGCTGCCCTTGCCCTCTTTTGCTTGCCTCACATCGGCCAAGACACCATTGCCCTCGAGGACGCCCGCTTCCGCGCCTACCTGGAGGCGAACGGCTACGACACGCGCCAGCTCGGTCTCAAGAAGGGCGAGAGTGTTGAAAACGCCCACGACAGCGATATCCCGTCGGAGGGTGTTGCCGTGAAGGGCGAGAAGACGGTTGCCTAGACATGAACCTATGAAAAGTTTGGAGACTGGGGATGGATGCAAGCAAAAGAGCCGGACATCAACTCGATTATTGAGCCGAGGCACATGTCCGCGTTATGGATACCCGAGAGCCTCGGTCTCAGGCTTGAATCGTCATTTTTAAGTAAGGGAAGCGTGCATTCAGAAGCGCATAATGATACCACTCGATGCGATGATTCCCGATGTAATTGACAGAAAAGTCCTTTAATATCACAATATTTACATATAGTTCCTTCATATTGCGTTACCGCTTTGTGACTTGCATCACCCACGAAGCAGCCTTTTCTAATGTGCTCGGATACTTGGCCCCGTCATCCTCAAGCCTGTTGCTGTGCAGGTCCATTGTGCCGAGACCGACCCTTTGGGTTTTCGCATACAGCTTGTAGCTGATGATGTTCACAACGTATATGGCGATTCCGATGTAAGACGTCATGAAGGTGGACACAGTAAACTTCGGAATGAAGGCATTGTATCCTGGCAGGTTCGCGTCAGCTTGATACACATTTCGCGGGTCGAGAGAGCTCACTTACCATTGAAGAAGACAACGAGGACCGTTATGAGGAGAGCAGCATAAGAACCATAGGGCTGCAGCGGTCCTCGGTAAGGCATGATGCTTCGAGGAATGCCCTGGGCCTGCATGCCCCTCGTAAACTGGATGTAGCTGATAAGAACGCTGACCCAGTTCAAAGTGCCGAAGACAGTCACCAAGCTGACGAGATATCCGAATACCTGGGACGAGCTCTTGGCCGCGTTCATGTACGCAAGCGCGGCAAAGACGCTCGTGGCCGCCACACCGATGATGGGAACTCCCGCTCCCGTCGTCTTGGTGAAGATTCTAGGCGCCTGGCCGTCGCGAGCAAGTCCGTACAGGGTGCGGGATCCGATGTAGATATCCGAATTGGCCGCACTGATGACGAAGATGAGCAGACACCCATTGACGACGTGAGGAAAGACGGGAATGTTGGCGAGCTGCACCGCGATTACGAAAGGACTCGCAGCCGCACCGGTGCTCTTCTTCGTGCCGCCGATGAGCAGGTCGTTGGTATACGGGACAGACATGCCCAGCACGAGGGCGCCGATGATGTAGAAGAAGACGATGCGCCAGAGGGTCTGGCGGACGGCCTTGCGGATGGTCTTTCGCGGGTTAGGAGCCTCGCCGAAAGCGACGCCGACTACTTCGGTGCCAGTGTACGCGAAGCAGGCCTGGACTATGGCCGCCCAGAAGCCGAGGAAGCGACCCGTGGGACCGTCGACGAGGTAAGATCCGAAGGCGCCCGGGTTGTGCCAGTATTTGAAGCCGATTACTTCGCCGGAAGGCTGGCCGCCCATTGAGATGATGAAGCAGGTGAGGACGAGCATGATTATGACGAGTAGTTTGACTGTTGACATCCAGAATTCCGCTTCGCCGAAGAAGGACACATGTAGGACCTAAAGCTCATGTCAGATTGGCCGTGAAGAGTTGAGAACAGGAAGCACCTACATTGACCGCAATGATCGCGACTGTGAAAGTCGTGACGAAAATTGCAACGTTGAGATCAGGTCGCCAGTATTGGATGATGATGCCAGCCGCTGTGAGGTTGTTCGGTAGGACGATGGCGTATTTCAGAAAGTAGTTCCATCCCGTTGCGTACCTAAGGTATCACACGTCAAAATCAGTTCATAATGCATGTAGATATTACAACGAGATGACTTACCCTAGAGCCGGGTCAACAAACCGGGTAGCGTACCCAGCAAATCCCTTGTCAGATGGCAGCATCGTCGCCATCTCGCCAACGGCCGTCATGATGAAGAAGACCACGGCCCCGATGATGGTGTACGCAATCAGCAGACTTGCGGGCCCGCCCCTGACGAGACCGGTTCCAGAGCCAATGATGAGGCCGGTGCCGATGGCGCCAGCGACCGCAATCATGGAGACATGCCGCTCTTTGAATTCCCTTTTCAGTTGGCCGGTCTCCGCCGAGGAGCCTTCCGCATTGGACATTGTCGTCTCCAGGTTCGATGGGTCTCGCTCAGCATCATTGACGCTTTTACCGAACTTGGCGACGTTGTCTGAGCTCATGATGAAGATGCCAAAAAGAAGATAGAAAAAGAACGTGACATGGAAAAGACAGTGTCTGAAGACTTGGACGCTGTCATGCCCTGGCCGTGGTTCTTATACACAATCCATGCAGAGTCGAGTCGATGCGAACTTTCATACTATCTGGCTTATCTCGTTCTGAGGTCCAAAGACGTCGATAGCTAGGAAATGATCAATGGCCCAACGCGTCGGAGACAAAATCCGGGGAAGTCTCGGTCTCCACCGTGAAGATAGGCCACGAGACTAAGACTCAGCCATGATGGGACAGGTTGCGCGCCAACATGCGGGGCAGCGAGTTCTTATCAACCCCGGACCCGCAAATGGAGGTCGAACTCCGTCTCTAGTATCGCAGTTGATCTGGATATCCTTGTCACAATATCAGATGAATTTAGTTGAATGCAGTGACAGCCGGGAAATATCCAAAGCTAGTCTGATCATCCTGCACGTATCAAGTCATTTCTCTTAGATAAAAGTGCCTAAAACAGCGTCTATCAACCCAGATACTTTGCCGGTCCGACCCACATCTGACTTGAGAGCGCCCTGGATGATACGACATCACCAACAACGGACTTGAGCCTCCATTGCCTGCGTAAGCCAGAACGGCGAAACATCACGCGCGGGGTATCTGCATGATGATGCTTCGTGATTTCCGAAGTAGTGCGTGTAGTTTCGCCGATATAGGAGGACACGAAATTGATAAAGGAGAGATGAAGCCGACTTTGAAGCCCAGGGTAGGAGACCAACTGAGCAGAAGACACCAGATCCCGAAACATCGCAGAGAACCCCCTTCATCTCTCTTCTATTTTCCTCAACATGTCTCCAAGTGCAGTTGACAACCACACGGATGATGTTCCGGTGTTGGCCAAGTCACTCCAAGCCCCCTCAACGGAGGCCGACTTCTCCACCTTTCGGTCCCTCGTGCCGTTGGTAGCAGACGACAAGATCACATACCTCAACGCTTCCTACCAACCCCCCTCAAACCTCATCATCCACGGCGCCATCACCAAATTCTCTTCTGAGGGCCTCTACTCCGCCCACCCCAAGCCCCAATGGCAATCTGCCGTCGAGGAGACCCGCGAATTGGTCGGCCGCTACATCAATGCCGACCCCTCCTCCATCGCCTTCACCCGCGACACCACCGAGGGCCTGAACTCCTTCGCCCGCAGTCTCAAGTTCACACCCGGCGACAACGTCGTCGTGCTCGACTCGGAACATCCGAACCATGTGTACGGCTGGATGGCCCTGCGCACCGCCGGCCTTGAAGTCAGACAGGTGCCCACGATACCCGAGGCAGAGAAGAGTGGCAAAGTCACTGCAGCCAACACGGCGACATTCGCGCCGTACGTGGACGAGCGCACTCGCGCTATTGGAATCAGCTCCATCATGTTCCACAGCGGCCAGTGGAACGACGTCGCTGACATCTGCAAGGCCTACAGGCCCCGCGGCATCCACGTCCTCGCCGATCTGACGCAGCAGGTTGGCTTCGCTGAAGTCGACGTTAAAGCTTTGGGCGTTTCCGCAGCGGCGTTTAGTCTGCACAAGGGCCTTAACAACCCCACTGGCTTTGCGGCGTTCTACGTGGATCCAGCGGTGATCACAGAGATGGATCCGACGCCGCCGATTGTCGGATACGGGGCCGTCAGCAACGTTCGCGCTGACTTGCTGGTTCCCAGCGAGTCTTTGGTGTATCACCCCACGGCCCGTCGGTATGAGCACTTGAACTTGAGCTTGGTTGCCGCGGCATCTGCCAAGGCGTTCCTGACGTTTTACCTCGACTCCATGGGCCCGAGGCGCGTTCAAGAACATCTCTACAGCCTCGGGGATGTTTTGCGTGAAGGATGCAAGGATATTGGCATCAAGATTGTCGGGCCTACCAGCCGGAAGGAGCACGCGCCTCACCTCTACATTCTCGATCTGCATGACCCGCGGTGGATGGAGCTGCTGAAGGATCATGGAGTACTTGTTACACCGTACCGTCTGGGTATTAGAGTGTCATTTGGCTTCTACAATAACTCATCAGATGTTAAGAAGCTTATTAGCATACTAAAGACCGGCGTAGAGTCAGGCCTTCCTATTTAAGAAACGTCTAGATAGATTGGGATTGGTTTAGATAGCAATATCTTTCTTTGACGATAACAAAGTTCTCTGTGTCGGTGAGCCAATAGCAACCTATCAGTCTTACATCTGTGTCAACTTATTCCTAGCCTGCTCGGCCAAGTCCCAAGCAGCACAGCATTCATCCAAGGAATGAACCAGGTACTGTGCCTCCTCAGTCGTACCAAACAATGTCAGAGTCCTAGCCGCTTGCATGACCGCATAGATCATGATCAGCGGGCTGTGTAGCAGTCCGTATTGGCTCCGATATTTCCGTGAAATATGTGTGATATCCTGCGCGGAAGAGACGCAGTCTTTGCGTGCGTTGTCGATCATGGCTCCGCTGTGACCCGACGCCGCGTGATCAAAGTTGAGAGCAATCCGTACACTGTGAAACAGCAAACTGAAGCGGATTGCGTGAGTGATCGATACAATTGGATAGCTATTGGAAAGCAGGGGAACTCACTGGAGGGCAGCTACACTGGGAATCAAAGGAGTGCTTGGAGGTTCCCACTTGTTCCATTTCGCGCACTCTGGCAAGGCTTCATACCAGCTGCACAGCTCAAAGTTGAGGCTGTCGAGACATGCCTGCCTCCCAAGACCTTCTAAGTTTGATTTCGTTGAGAACAGCTTCGACAACATCTTCTCAATGATCTTGGAAAGGCGGATTTGTTCCTTGAAGCAGGGCACAAGCGGTAGTGGGTTAATATCAGCGAAGCGGCCGTCGTAGGCGGCAACGCCGGCGGGAAGCCACGGCGCCATTTCTGGAAAGTCTCTAAACGATGTCAGTATTTCAGTATTCACCCCTCTATTGTTATGTTTTACGGAAGTCTCTCGGTCGTTTCGACCTCAGCATCGTCGTAGAAGAGGTACACCGGCCTCCCGAGAATCAAGCTGATGAGTTTGTCGGACGTGTAACATCCCCAGAATATGCGTCGGCGAATCTCCATGTCTTCCTCCGTAACTAGTGAAGAATCATGAGAGATCCAGTGCTTTGGGTCTCTCTGGAAGCCGAGGTCTTGCGCCATCCGGAAAGCAATTCCTACATGACGTCAACTCACCAGTGGTCGGGCTGATGCGGCATACCTGGGCTCACCTGAGAAACCCCACCCCTTGGAGAGGTTCCCTCTTCCTATCTCATAAAACGCTAGACATAGAAAGCCTTGTACCGTGACGATTGATGGTTTCGTGAAGCCGGAAACGATAAGGATGCTCTCGGCCGCTGAAAAGAATTGCTCGCTTGCTTGACGGTGTCGTTTATCTGGTGACATCAACGTTCCCAGCGCACATATAGACAAAAGCAGTGCCGAGGACCAGTATTTGCAGTTGGATCTCTCGCCGAAATGATCCCTGAGGAATGCCTCGCGGTAGATGAACATGAAATGAGGGTACTGCCACTTGAAGAACTGGAGCAATGCGTCTGAAACTAGTTCGTCTTGAAGACTGATGCCGAAGTGCTCTGCGACATGTTCGAAAGTCGATTCGGATACAAGGTTCGGTGACGACTGTGATGAAAAAGCACCAAGTGTATTGCTGGTCGTTGGGCGATACGCGTTGGCTCGATAGATGCTTGTCGCCCCGTGATAGATCAGCGAGCCCTCAAGGTCGACCTGGAGGTGTGCGGTGCTGCGCCGGCCTTCATCTTCTGGTGTACGTTGAGCTGGCTGTCTATTTTCGAATGTGCGAGAGCCGCCAGCCTGCAAGTGATCCCCAAACGAGACTGTCCGCAACATCTCGTCGCGCTCCTTGTCCGGCGCTGTCTGGAGGCTGCGGATGAATGATTCCAGTGAAGCGACTCGATTCTCCAAACTAACAACGTACTCATGCGTAGCGGGCCGTCTTTTACGGTCGACCTCGCGGTATTCGCATGTTTGCTTTGCCGTGGCGCAATTCTGGCACGGCTCAGTGCGGGAGCATTTTAACTAGCAGAAGTCAGCGAGATCGGCCCCTGGAAGCAATCCCAGGATCTTCGGGCACCTTTCGGTACTGGCATCTCTTGCAACTGAAGTTGTGTCAGCGATTCATTCCAATGATATTAGCAGGAGTTCAACCCACGATATTCTCTTTGCGGGCTCGGATGGCATCTCAACACAGCTGGCATCGTGTGCATGGAAACTAGTCTGTAGGTGAGGAATTTGTCGGCATGAATTTGTTAGGGACTCATTGACAGCGCTTAGTCACCCTTGTTAGGCGCTGGAAGTTTTCATAGCAGAAATCGCAAAAGAGCGCTACTAATAGGCGAACGCTCGTGTATGCTCTACCCTTCAACATCTGCTTTACCCGGGCAAGATAACAACAGACTGGTCTTAGCTTTTATTTGGGTAAGAATTGGTTACATTCGGTGAATCCGACTTTTTAATGCTCTAATGTCCGAGTTTCGTGCAGCATGGCTTTGAGTCCGTAACAAAACTATCTGAACTGTAGACAGCTCGGTGAACAGCGCACAATGCTGTTCGCTAGACTGCGCAAATTGTTCGACTACTATGAAGGCTTCACATTCTCCTGATTGGCCGCTGGCAAGAACATGAATCCAATAGTCATTTCAATGACTTTTCTTGCAGGACTTTCACATGCTGTCGCTTCCGACCAAGAACCACATTATTCTAGGGCCCTGTTGGAAAACGGCAAAATCCTCCGGGCAGTGAATGCGGGGTGCATTTGGGGGATCACAATCCCCCACAGCCGTTGATCTTTACGTCTTGATCCCCAAGCTGCAGGGCTCATAGGTGCGCCTACCGCAAAGCCCATACCACGTCAACGGATCAGCTTGTAGTGGTGTGGTCTCCATCACGTAAAGCAAAGCCTGAGATTGGTACGAATAGTCTCCTACACTTTCCTCACTGCATGAGCGAGCCCTGCATCCAGTATGCCATATTTCAGGCCTCCGGCCGCCGGGGTTTGACTTTAGTGATCGTCATCTGGGGTCCGGGGTTTGGCAGTGTGCCACGACGCCCATTGCTGCTGATCTTCTGTGGATAAACGTGCCCTGTTGAGCCTATCTATGTCTGTCATCTTCTAGAAAGATCCCACTGGTGATCATCCCTCCTCGGATCCTGACGTGGTACTTCATCTAGACAAAGTGGCAATTCAACCCCAATGCCAGGGGGCAGGCATCTCCCTCTTCACGCATGTAGAGATGTATTCACAGTGGCCAGATCTGTCCAGCTTTTCTCTTTTGGCCATCCGAGCTGCTGATCGGCCCAGGCAGGCAACATTCAACAGGTCTGCGCGGGATGTACTTTGACCTCGGAGCCAGCACACTACAACTGGCGATTATGGTATTACAGACTACCTAATGATCACATATGTGAGTACAAGGCAACACTGATGCCGCATCAGTTCGTCGGCGAGACCGGCGACGTGGGGGGCTTGGTGGCTGTTTCTCAAGAACTTCCATTCGCACTCAAGAGCTTCAACAAGGCTACCGAGCCATCCACGAGTGCTTGGGTGGGCATGGCCGACGGATGGCGGTCATCCATTCACAGGTTTGAAGGTATGCTTGGCGTTGGTCCAATGTAATGAGAAGATAGATGCGTTTTCCGCACTACTTTCACAACCTTCAGCCAGCCTGAATATGAAGCTGATGGTCGGACTCAGCTCTCTACCCATCATGAAAGCTCATACCTAAGCCAATCGTAGGAATCGCCAGCCAGCCCAGCTGGTCTTGGGTTTTTTTCCCGTGAAGATGCATAGAATCCGCGCCGTCCATTCAACGGCCCCTCCATTTTGCCTTGCCGTCACGTCCGGTATGACGACCTTGGCCACATCGTTGCCCGATGCCCAAGCACCCCTCCTTCATGTCGCAATCAAGCAGTTCTCCCTTCAATCCGGATTCCCCCTCCTCTCCAATGGCCCATCAAATCCATCAACCCATCTCCACACCATGCAACCATTCCCATGAAAGACAACCTTTCATCTACCACATCTCAGCTGTCACTTTTCGCCTCCCTTCCTCTCACAGCCCTCGCTCGTCATGCCATCCCGCGCGCGGCAATCCCTAAACCTGACGCTATGAGATACGTCAGCCGTGGAAACTCAACCCATCAATCACCGCGCAGCATCCGCTCTCGCCGCCTCCTCCTCCAGTTCCGCCTCAACCCTTCGCAGCTCGCTCAGCCCCTCCGCAATCCCCTTCACCTCCTCAGCCGAGGGCCTGACGCAGGGCTTCCGCGGCGCGCCCCCGTACTGCTCAAAGTGCCCGATCGCCGCCTTGACACCCACAAACCCCGTCTGGATGGCCACCCAGTCCCCCTTCGCCATGACTGCCTGCAGCCGCCGCGCCTCGGCGAGCCGGCCGTCCGCCGCGAGCTCCATGACGCGCGCGCACGCTCGCGGCGCGATGTTGGCCAGCCCCGCGATCGTCCCGTTGGCGCCCACGACCTGGCCCTGCAGGATGAAGTCCGCGCTGCCGCCCGCGACGAAGAACCCCTCCGGCGCGTCGTCCGCCACGCGCGCGAGCTTGCCCGTGTTGCCGCAGGTGAGCTTGACGCCGACCACGTTGGGGTGCTGCGCGATGCGAACGATGGCGTCTGAGGACAGGTCGCGGCCGGAGGCGGCGGCGGGGAAGTTGTAGATGAGCAGCGGGATCGGCGACGCATCTGCGACCTCGTAAAAGTGCTGGACGATCTTGTCGTCGTCGAGGAGGGTGCCGTAGTAGCTGGGCGGCAGCGCGAGCGCGTGGGTGGCGCCGCTTTTGTGGGCGTCTTTGCAGAGCTGGAGGGTCTCGCGGGTAGATTGGGCGCCGCAGCCGGCGATGAGCGGGATCTTGACGTCGTGGCCTTCTTGGTGGATGGTGTCGGCGGCGCAGCGGATCATGGAGCTGCGCTCCTCGCGTGTGAGGTGGACGGCTTCGCCGTTGGAGCCGTGGACCACGATGCCTGCCACACCGGCGTTGATGAGCCGGACGAGGTGGCGCTCGAGGGTGTTGGTGTCGACCTCCTCGGTGTCAGTAAAGAATGCCAGGGTTGGCACGTAGACGCCGTCGG